TTCTCCAAAGCTGTTCTCCCCAGAGAACAGCACTTACACACACACACACACACACACACACACACACACACACACAACCTTTGCTAAAGGGCAGGGGGTTTTGTTGTGGGAACATTATCCAATGTATTTACACAAACTGAGCTATGATGTTGCAGATAGACTCTTTTGGAGCCTTCTGTCATAGCAACATTGTTGACCAAGATGTCCTTATATAGCCCATGACTATATATATGATATGATACAATATGATACTATACTATAATGTATGTGTATAAATTGCATAAATATTTAAAATTCTGTACAAGATTTTACAAGTAAAATTCAGGATACCTATTTCAATTTACATTTCAGATAAACAATAACAGGATGGTAAGGGCCAAAAATTCAGGGCATGGGGCAGGGCCATCCATAGACTCTTGCTCTCTGGTTTCTCCTGTTTTTCTTTTATTATACCAATATGTAGGGTGGTGTAGAGGGTGGTACAGTCTCTTCCTCTCTTGACAGTGCAGGTGAGGGCTGGGTGTATGTGGGTGTGGACACAGCTGCAGGCTTTCCAGTGGGCCAGTCAAATGGTTGCCTCTTTGGGGACTGAGGGTGGATTGGGCAGGATCAGACATCTCCATGTATAAGCAGGGACATCTGTGTACCAGGTAGGCTTGGTGAAGGGTCTGCTGACCACCTGTTTTAAGAAGTAGAGGACCCAGTTCAGTGTCTGGCCTTAACTACATCATGAAGAGTCCTCATGCTCTGTAGTCAGATTTTTTTTTTAAGACATCTTCCGCCAGGTGCCCATGGCTCACGCCTGTAATCCTAGCTACTCAGGAGGATGAGATCTGAGGATCACAATTCAAAGCTAGCCTGGGCAGGAAAGTATGTTGGACTCCAATAAACCACTAGAAAACTGGAAGTGGCACTGTGGCTCAAGCAGTAGAGTGCTTGTCTTGAACTGAAGAGCGCAGGGACAATGCCCAGGCCCAGAGTTCAAGCCCCATGACAAAAAAAAAAAAGAAAAAAAGAAAAAGAAATCTGCCTATGTGCCTGGCCTCTTAATTTCAGTCAGGTGGTTTAAGAAATCAGTTTTATCTCTTTTCACTGTTTGAAAACCAAAACCAAAACAAGATGTCTGGAGGACTTTCAGTGATTGATTATAGCTCTGGGTTCTAGGCTTGTGCGGTTCGACTGTAGCTCACAACGGTGGTAACACTTGGAGTCACACAAAGTCACACTTGGATTACTTAATTTCCATCTCTAGAAATCTGGTGGATAGAAACTCTACTGGGAAGCCATACATTTGTACTGCTTGTGGAGAGATAGAAAAGCATCCCAAGTCTCCCACATATAGCCTTGAGCTATAATATTATAACAATAAAATACTGCTTAGCTTAATAGCCATTGAGGGCTTCCAGTGACTGAGTAAGTACAGATGCCCATTTCTTGAAAAGTCATGAATGCTGCCCACTTCGGTTTTCTCCCAGGCAAAGACCTGACTTTTTCCTTTCCAAACACTGCATTTACATAATTAGTCTTAATATGGGCTCATTTTACATTGGCTTTGTGGTCTGGCAATGCAGAGCGCTTCCCTGTGTCACTCTTTCTGCAGTTACCATGTGGGTGGAGCATGAGGGCTCCAGGCTGAGCTCTGGCCCTAGATAGATGTTGGTGGATTGGACCCAGAATGCCCCTCTCCAGGACATCTGAAGCAAGACTTCACCTGCCCTAACCACCATTCTCATTTTGGATTCATGGCATTGGCTCAGCAGAAATATAAATCGTTCATTGGGTTGAGGAAACTTGATATGAGGTCTGGAGCAGGACTTTTAGAACAGGCTTATTACAGTGGTCTTCCCTTACCTTTGCTTTTGCTTCTTGTTCCTTCAGTCACCCAAGGCCAATAATGGTCTGAAACTGTTTGAAGGAAAATTCTAGAAATATAAACAATTCACATGTTTTAAGTGGCATGCCATTTGAAGTAGCATGGTGGAGTTTTGATCTATCTTAGTCGTTGTCTCCTATGCAGTGAATCCTTTATCAGGTGTTTTCATTCTGTATAGCCTACCTGCCTGTTAGTCACTTAGTAGTTGGCAGTAAGATCCACTGACATGCTATCATGGTACTTATGCCCGAGCATCCTTGTTTTATTTAGTAATGTTCCCAAAGCATAGGGATGCTCGTGATTCAGATATGTCCAAAAGAAGCCATAATTGCTTTGTTTAAGGGAAAAAGTAAAAGGTATCAACAAGGAAATAAAAGTATTTGTCAAGGTCTTGAGGATCTGCAGTAAGGACTCTCCCATCTGCAAGTTGTAAAGAACTCCACACTAAGTTTCTGTTCCCCCCAACTTGCAGAAGTTGTAGCCACAGCATGTGACACACACTGAGCCTACGTGGAAAAACACCTGGAGTGGGATCAGCCCTGGCCCTGGTTTCAGGCACCCACTGGCTGGCTTAGTGTATATCCTGCTCAATTAATGAAGCTCCTGATCTTTCCACATCTCACTATGGAAGGTGACCTCAGGGTTGATGTCCTCATCCTGCTGTGTACTTTAATCAGTAACACATGTCCTACTCTGCCTTTTGGACTTGGACCATTTCTTTCTTTCTAAAAATTATTTAATTAAAAATGATGATTAGAATACATTACTACTGTACTGGGGACATTCACTGTGATCTTTCCATACATGCTTACAATGTATATACCTTGTCGATCTTACCCCTCCCCAATCTGTGCATGTGTGTGCGTGTGCATGGTGCATTGTAGGCATGTGTGCACATGCGTGTGTGGGTGTGTATGCAAGCACGCATGCACACACGTGTGCTAGTATTAGAGCTTGAACTCTGGGCCTTACACTCTTTAAAAAATTGTTTTTGTAAAGGTAATGTACAGAGGAATTACAGCTACATAAATCAATAATGAGGGCTGGGAAGGTGAGGCCCTGGATTCGATTCCTCAGCACCACATATGCAACAAGAAAAAAGCCGGAAGTGGTGCTGTGGCTCAAGTGGTAGAGCGCTAGCCTTGAGCTGAAGAGCTGAGGAACAGCGTCCAGGCCCAGAGTTCGGGCCCCACGACCTGACCCAAAAAATAAATAGATAATGAATAGTGAGTGTCACCTTTTCCTTTTCTCCCAGTTTTTTCCTCCTGACTCCCTTCTCCCCTAATTGCATAGTTCATTTTCAACATAGTGTCTAGTATCACTGCTGCTTTTGTTCACCCCTTGTCTCACCATTTTTGTGTTCCCTTTTACCCTCCACCAAACAGATAAAATAACATATAAGACAGAAGGTACAGAAATAAAAAACAGTTACAAAGGTGGGGGAGAAGCAAATCAACAAGAAAAACCTATTGTTTCCATTTCTTGGAGCTCATTGATAAATATCATTTAAATGAGTATATGCAAATAGCTATTGAGCCTTTGTGATCCTCTCCTTTGGTCTCACTGTCTAGAGTCATGTATTATTTATCATGCCAAACTATTTGTTTTTGTCTCTTACCATCCAGTGTCTTGTAGATTTATGTATGTTATATAAGTAACATTTTCCTGATCTATTCATCCATAGAGAGGCATCTGGTTTGATTCCATATCTAGACTGTGGTAAACAATGCTGCAGCGAACCTGGTTGTGCTGGTAGCTTTAGTATGACCTTGTTTGTGGTCTATTTGATAAATGCCTAGGAATGGAATGGCTGGGTCATAGGGAAGCTCTATGTTTAGTCTTTTGAGGAACCTCCATACTGCTTTTCAGAGTGGCTGAACAAGTTTACATTCCTACCAATATTGTAGTAGCAATCCCTTATGGCCACTTCCCCACCAGCATCTATTATTGTTAGTTTTCTTGATAATGGCCATTCTAACTGGGGTGAGGTGGACTCTCAATGTTGTTTTGATTCGCATTTATTTTATGGCTAGAGATGTTGAACATTTTTTCATGTGTCTATTGGTCATTCTTACTTCTTCTGAGAAGTCTCTCTTTAAGTCTTTACTCAATTTATTAATTGGGTAGTTGTTTCTTTGAGAGTTTGAGGGGTTTTAATTTTTTGAGCTCTAAGTATATTTTAGATATGAAGGGCCTCACACTCTTGTTTCACTTTTTGCTCAAGGCTGGCATCCTACCACTTAAGCCATACTTCCACTTCTGGCTTTTTGCTGGTTAATTGGAGATAAGAGTGTCATGGATTTGTTTGCCAGGCTGACTTTGAACCAGATCTGAGATCCTTAGATCTCAGTCTGCTGAGTAGCTAGGATTACAGGCATTAGCCACTGGTGCCTAGCTATCATTCTCCTTTAACTCCCTCCTCACTTCTCAAAACAATTCATCTGGTTTTGTTGTTCTATTTCCATATATGCATATAAAGTACTTAAAGATATTCACCTTCATTCACCCTTTGCATATTTCCTCCTCCTCCCACTGATACCTGATCCCCCGACAGAGCCTTTTTTACTCTCCTGTCATTTTGTCATTTTATTGTATATTAATTATACTAAGGGGTTTCACCATGGTAATCCAATACATGCATATACTATATTTTAACCTGAATGATCTTTTCTATTGCTGTATCTAATTGGCTTTTATAAATCAATAATTTACATTCTGCTTTAGAGATATCCCATTAAATGGAAACATGGTACCCCTGTAGTAATCAAGGGTTGTCAAACGTAAGAGTCAAGGAAGTCTGATTTTTCTTTTTCGGGCATTGGAGCTGGAACTCACAGGCCTCACAAATATTTGGCCATGCAAGCACTCTACCACTGAACTCTATCTGCAGCTCCCAAGGGGTCTTATCTTTACCATCAGAACTTCTACCGGGGCCAGACTTGAATCCTACAGGTGCCCAGAGCCAGAGAACCTGCAGCTGCCAAGTGATGTGATGACCAGCCTCGGCCCCATTTCTTAGCCTCACATCCTAGCCAGGGATTGGGAGTCCTGGAACTACAGTCGGCACTCCCCACGTCCCTGAGTCAGCGATTACACTCTGACCAGGACATTTCTGTCTGTCTTGTAGGGCTGGTAGCCATAAAGGATGCTCATGACATAGAGACGAGGCTCAATGAGGTGGAGAAGCTGCTTAAGACAATCATCAGCATGCCCTGCAAGGTAAGAACAATGGGTCCAGGTTGGAGGAGGAGCGGGAGGGGATCCACCTGCCATCTTCCAAATCAAAAAGGTGTCCACCCTCCCCATAACTGGCCTGCTTGCTGTACCTCACTTAGGATACCTGGCTCCTCAAGTGACTTGTAGGATCTATGCTTCTCTCCCTCCCCCCCTCTTTCTTCCCCCCCCTCTCTCTCTCTCCCTCTCTCGTCTCTTTCTCTCTCCCCCCCATCTCTCTTGTCTGTCTGTCTCTGTCTGTCTCTGTCTCTCTATCTGTCCTTTTTCTCCCCTCTGTCATGATGTGGACATGAGAAGCCATTAGATCTTTTACATTTCTTACTCCTCTGTCAGGCAAACAGGGATCTCAGTTTACTATCAGAAAGGGAGATGGCCAGGTATGAGGCTCGTGCCTGTAATCCTAGCTACTCAGGAGGCTAAGATATAAGGATCAGCGCTCAAAGACATCCTAGGCAGGAAAGATTATGAGACTCTTTAATTAACCACTCAAAAGCCAGAAAACGGTAGGGTATCAGCCTTGAGCAGAAAAATATAAGGGACATCACTCAGGCCGAGTTCAAGTTTCAGTACTGGCACAAAATATACAAAGAAAGGATATGTGTGTGAACCACAAACATGACCATTATTTTCATGGAGGCATCCTGTCCCCCTGGCTTTGCATTTTAGCTACCTGGAGAGGCTGGTTTGATTGTTCCCTTAGTACTTACTTGGGCAGCCATGGAGCCTCAGAACAGCTTGCCTGGTGTAGGAACAGTATGGCCAACTGGCGGGAGCTTTTCATTGTGTTTCTCATTACTGTGTTTCTTCCCAGTATTCTAGGTCAGAAGTTGTGCTCACCTTCTTTGAAAGATCTCCTCTGGATCAGGTGTTAAAAAATGATAATGTACATAAAATTCAACCCAGCTTCCAAAGTCCTGTCAAAATATCAGGTAAGAGCTAGAGTGTAGGATGGGGTTGGGGTGAGGATGTACTATGTTGGCTATTTTCTGATTTGGCCTCTGGATGGGCACAGCCAGGGATCCAGAAAGACAATTGATCAGCTTTTTGAAAACAGTGTGTGAGATATTGTTGCTTGAATTTTACTCAGCAGAGTATTTGCTACCTGTGAACCTGTAATCTACACCTTTCCTACTTTCAAAGATTTTCTTTTTTGCATAAATTGGAACTCACTTAAGAAATAGTGACATTAGCAAGTCACTCTGTGTGTGCATGTGTGTGCGTGCATGCTCTCAAGCGTATGTGTACACATGCACACACCGCTACTGGAGCTTGAACTCAAGACATCACATTCTCATTTGGCTTTTGCACTCAAGGCTTGTGCTTCAGCAGTTGAGCCACATCTCCATTTCTGACTTTCTGGTGATTAATTGGAGGTAAGAGTCTCAGGGGCCTCCTTTGAGTCTCAGAGGAATGAGGCCGTGGCTTTGGGATGACCTGGAAGCCCCTGACTTGAGGGGACAACCAGATGTATGGAGCTGTCTACAGAAATACCTCCCAAATGTTCCCCTCCTACATCTCCCCCTCCTGTTTTCAACTGGGACATGGATGGATCAGTGACCATGTCTGTCCTGAAAGACTGAAAGGAACAAGATGAAATTTAAAGTGGTAAATGTAGAGCCCCACATTGCAAGGGTCTTGGGGAGGTTTAAGTGTGTTCTTTGGGACTTTTTGCAAGAACTCAGGGCAGGTTTTGGGCCCCACTGTACAGAAACCTCCTCCCAGCCTCCATGCATGATTTGGTTGCAGGGTCCGGGTCTACAAGGCCATGGTCTTATCCTTCATGTGCAGGGTTGAGGAGAGGAGAGGGAAGAAATGGGGAGTAGGGTTTGGGAGGAAGCGGATGGCACCCCTTGGGTTGTAGTAGGCCCCTGTGGGAAGGGGGTTGGGCAGGGACTGGTATGGCCATCAGGCAATTTAAGATCAACACAAAATTCTTTCTAACAAGCAGGCTGCAGCCAGCAGTTTCTGTGCCAAGGCTTGGGGCCAACAGAGTTACTGTTCTTCCTAGAGTGAAGTAGCCTGGCCACTGTTTTGCTTCCTCTTGAGCTGTCCCATCTTGGCTTCTCAGCCCTCCTTGCAGTGTGAGCAAGGGCTTCCCCATGGGAGCCAGATTACAGGAGTGTGTAGCTGGCCAGCAATGTCCCCGCTGCCCTGGGCAAGATGTGGCTGGGAGAAAAGAGAGACAGCCTCTCCATGCTTTCTAAGCATTCATTCCAGAAAGCACCCACATTCCTGAGACAATGATCTCATTTGGCCTCATGGCCCCATAGTTGTGTTTTTGCCTCAGCTTGGGGGCCGGAGAGGGTTGGCCTTCCAAAAACTGGTTCACATGGCCTTTCCCTTTCTCTAGAACACACTGAATGTGGATACCAGGCTTCAGCCAGCTCCTGAGACTTACTTCTCTCCTATCTTCCCCTGGGATAAAGCTCAGTGCTCCCCTTTGTCACCAGGGTGTATCAAGGTCTAACTCATGGTCCAGTTTCTTACATTCCAGATCCTGTACTTTCTCTGCTGGACACTGCTAGAGTCTGGCTTATGCTATAGCTTTATAAGATCATCTTCTACTGTTCATTGCTGAGGCCCATGCCCACCCTCCTCCCCCACTAATACCTTCTATGGCTAATGTGGCATTTGGGGGAGATGGTGCCTTGGGTAGGGCTCTAAGCCTCTGTGTAGGATCATGGTTGAGGAAGCATCAGGCTCTGAATACAACTTTGTCTTTGTGGAATATTGAGACTGCTTAGTGGCCAGTTCTCCACTAGATGGCATTAGGTACTAGCCATGCTGAGAACTGTGTGACCTGCCCATCTGGGACTGCAGCAAAGAGAACCACTCAATCTTAAGCATGCTTTGCCTCATGCTGAGGGATATGCTTCTCAAATCTAAGAAAGCACAGTGTTCTGCAATGTGGCCATATGAAGCATAACGGGAGCATGGAGCTTGCCCTTCCTCTGTCTAATTGAGCTGATGGATTGCAGCCACAAGATCTAGTCAGTCAAGGGTTGAGGCCTGGAAATTAAAAAAAAATAGTATCAGTTTTCATTAATCTGGCATGTGTGCCATCTCAGCATTAATTTCTACTACACAGGGATGGTCCACTTAGCCAATTAATCAAAAAGAGTTGCTTTAGGTTCTGTTCTTTCAGAGGATTTGCAAAGGAGGAATTGCATGCTAGGAATACTTGTATGGCTGAGACTCACAGCCTGCAGAAAGAAAGGAATAGAAGAAGTCATGGTGTGGTGGCATAGGGGGCGTAGCTGCAGCTACAAAACAGAAAAATCACCACTGGGACCACATGCGTAGTAGTGGTTATTTAGAAAAGATCCACTGGGTGAGACAGGTACTCAGATGGGTTTTGAAAACCCAAGGAGAAAACAGGTTTACACAATCTCAAGGCCACCAGCTCCCTATTATCCATTAACTACAAAGGTAAAAAGAGTAATCTTACTTTGGGAACATCTGGCAGCCTCACTCAGCTACTTAGGCTGGCATCACCTGTAATAGGACCTATGGACTATGCACATGCATGGGCACACACAAGCTCTGGTATTACTCAGCAGACACATCCTCGTTCTGTGGGATCTCTAGGAAAGTTGTACACCTGATCACTTGGGAGCCCAGCTTGACCAGGTGCTGCATAAGGCAGTCCTCTGTGCCAAACAAGGGCACCATCACCATGACCGGAAGGCAGGGAAAGTGAGGGACCACGAGGGCCACAGCAGGTCAAGGCTGGGCAACTCAGGGCAGCCCGGGGGGGGGGGGGTGCCAGGCTTGGATCTGGAACAGAAAAAGGGAGCATTGGTGGAAACCCGTAACACTGCAGTGGCAAGGGCTTTACTTTTTAAAAAGTATGATGCCCAAGTTAATGTCCTGGACTTAGCCAGTGGGCTACAGTTGCTCTGAAGTATCAGTACTAGGAAAAGCTGCTGAGGGGTATGTGAGAACTCCAAAGTCAGCTCAGAATAAAAAGTTTAAAAAAATAGCCAAGGTTTGTTAGCTCACACCTGTAATCCTAGCTACTCAGGAAGTTGAGATCTGAGGATGGCTAGCTACTCAGGAAGTTGAGATCTGAGGATGGCGGTTTGAAGCCTGCCCAGGCAGGAAATTCTGTGAGACTCTTATCTCCAATAAACTCAGAAAAGGCCAAAAATGGTGCTGTGGCTCAAGTAGTAGAGCACTAGTCTTGAAGCAAAGATCGGGGACAGTGCCAAGGCCCCAAGTTCAAGCCCCAGGACTGGCACAAAAAAATGCTAAAACAGTAGCTCGAGGGATTAGGATATGATACAGTGGTAGAGCAATTTACATAGCATAGTGAGACCTGGATTCCACTAGCTCTGCAAAGAAGAAGAAAAGACCTTGAAAACTGAACTGTTTTGGGGGTCAAGTAGCTATGTTATTGAAGTGGCTGGTGGTTTTGTTGTGGATACTAAATTGACATTCAGGAAATTCACTTTTTGAATATGTATGAAGATAGATTTTAGCTGCTGCCATTTTTCTTCAATCATAGCTTTCCTGTGTGTGCATGCACCAATACCAGAGATTGAACTCAGAGTTTTGAGCTTTTGTTCATCTTTCCTCATGGTTGGTGTTATTACCAACTGAGCTGTGCATCTAGTATAGCATTTTGTAAGATGATGTTTTATGGACTTTTCCACTCAGGTTTCAGCCTCCTGAGTAGCAAGGATTATAGACACGCTTCTTCAGTTTGCATTTTTTGGGGAGTGGGTACTGAGGCTTAACTCAGGACCTCACTCACTTGCATTCCATACAAGACTCGCACTCTTGAGCAACACCTCCACTTCCAGCTTCTTGATGGTTAATGGAGATGAGTCTCATGGGCTTTTCATCTAGGCTAGTGTGAGTAGCTAGGATTACAGGCATCAGCCACTGGCTCCTAGCCCATCAGGGTTTTTGTTTGTTTTTTTTTCCCCTACATATCATAATCTATTGGAAGACATGCCCTATAGAGATGGCCATAATTACTATTTGTTTGAGCCCTTAGTGTTTTCTTTATAGATATCATCTCATTTAACCTGTGGCTAGGTCCTGGAGGCTGGATACCATCATTCACATTTACAGAAGAAGGAACCAAACAAGAAGTAATCTGCTCCCCAGGCATAGGTAGTAACCAAACGGGGTTTGAACCAGCTCTCCCCAAGCTCAAAGCTGTCACCTTCGTGTACTGTGTGGCCCCTTTTACCCACCTAGCCTTTGTTACTACAGAGTTCTGCATTGCTGATGCTTGCATAGAGTGGACTGCCACAAGGACCCCCATTCAAGTCAGAGACCTCAAAACTCAGTGAGACCCTCTGCTCGAACATGCAGAGACCCCAGTCCATGCCACTTCCTATAAAAATTGACCTAACTGGTGACTTGTGGTCAAGCACTAGCTGACCTTTGTCTATACTGAGGAGAAAGGGCACTACTCTGGATTGTTCGGAGAGTAAGGCCTGAACTTATACCTGCTAGAGCTAAATGCTATTTCCTCTTGGTAAATTTTATATGACCTATCATTTGTTCAACTTTTCCTTGGACATTTCTTTTTCCTGCACGAGGGCTTAAACATGGGGCTTTGTATATCCTTCTCCAAGCCAGAGTTTGGAATATATATTCCAAAGGTGCCAGTAGCTCACACCTGTAATCCTAGCCATACAGAAGGCTGTGACCTGAGAACTAAGCCCAGGGAAAATAGCCCAGAAGACTCTTAACTCCAATTAACCAGAAAAAGTCTGGAAGTGGAGCTGTGATTCACATGGTACACACACACACACACACACACACACACACACACACACACACACACACACACACACACACACACACACACACACACACACTACTCAAAGGATTGTTACAAACTTAGAGCTCATAGAGAATGAAAGAGGATATGGAGCTTCTTGGGAACCATCTTTCATGAAACACTATTCTAGCAAGTTCTATCAGGCCTGCATTAAGGCTTTGAGGCACCAAAGTACCAGCACCCCTTAGTGGCTTTCACAGCCTGGCTGCTCTTGCAAGCAGTGAAGCAACATTGATGTGCATAAGGCTTTTTGTTCCAGACAGTTGAGAGAGGATTTTTGCCAGTCTGTTTTGGAGAGCTGAGTAAAGATTCCATGTTCTAGAACTCCAAAGTTCACATGGAAGAAAGATCAGGCATGCAAGATAACTTCATAATTTTTTGGTTCTGAAATGATTCTCAGCAGTGACATGTGTTTGAACTTCTAGGCTTCCCCTGTCAAATTCCTTTGACAAGGGGGTGGGAGAAAAAGGCGAGGGCTGTCAAGTAGCTGTGTGGAGGCTGCTTAGAGATTTTATGAGCTTCCTCAGACAGGCAGATTTGGGGCAGGATTGATATTTAAAAAATGGAGCATGGCTCCATGCAGCCATACCATTTACAATGAGAGCACGGGGATCTGCATCTATCTTGTTAAGACTTACTGTAGTACTTTCCAGCCCGGTGTCCGTGGCTCATGCCTGCAGTCCTAGCTACTCATGAGGCTGAGATCTGAGGATTGTCATCAGCCCAGTTCAGGCAGGAAAGTTGGTGAGATTCTTATCTCTAGTTAATCAACAAAAAGACAGAAGTGGAGCTGTGGCTCTCAAGTGGTAGGTAGAGCATCAATTTTTTTGAGGGGGGGTGGGGGGGTCTGGTCGTAGGGCCTGGGCGCTGTCCCTCACCTCTTCAGCTCAAGGCTAGCACTCTACCACTTGAGCCACAGCGCCACTTCTGGCTTTTTTTTTTCCTGCTTATGTGGTGCTGAGGAATCGAACCCAGGGCCTCATGCATGCAAGGCAGGTGCTCTACCACTGAGCCACCTTCCCAGCCCTAGAGCATCAATCTTGAGTGAAAAAGGTAAAAGACCATGCTCAAGCCCTCAGTTCAGGTGACAGTACTGGCATTAAAAAAAAACAACTGCTTAGATTACTGGAAAAGTTATGTGCTTAATCAGGATGATAACGTGAAAATGAGTTTTGTGGGTTTGGGGGGCAAGTAGTGCATCTTTAGTGGAAGTTGGGTCATGTTACGGGAACATGAGTCAAGCTCCTGCAGCCCCTTCATGTATCCTGAGCATTTGCGAGTTCTCCTCAGTCACTGTCTCTTATACACATCAAGGTTCTACTATATCTGTGCTTATTGTGGGAGAAAAGTCATTGTCTATGTAAAATTAAGTGAAATTTCTCCTTTGATGTGAACTGTACCTTGGTCTCATTTGACACCCAGGACAACCTGGGTTTGTGGAGGTTGCCATCTCTGTCTTCGCCACAGGCTAAACCTTAGAAAGGGGATCTGCATGGTGATGCTTGCTGCTGTGCCATAGATCTACAAACACAGACTCACTCAGTCCCCTCTCTGTCTAGATCCTGCTTTAAACCAGTGGCGACGGGTATTGGGGTGCTCAGCACTTCTCTCCTCAGGGAGAGGCTCCTCTGCCCCTAGCTGAACCCTTCTCTGGTGTGCAATGAAGGAAAGCAAGATGGACAATAGGCATTGAGGGAAGAGGAGTAGGAAAATCTGGTGTAAACCCTAAACTTCTCAACCTCAAATTCTGACCCTTCTTGCTTTGGTTTTCAGAAATCATGAGGTCCAATGGATTTTGTTTGGCAAACACAGAAACGATAGTTATTGACCACAGCATACCTAATGGGCAAGACCAGCACCTGGGTGACGATTCCACAGGGCATTTGTAAGTACACTGATCTCGAAATGGTTTGATAGAAGGGGACACCAGGCTGATGATCCAGGCTGAGGCTTGCTGCCGCATAAAAAGAAGTATGGATGGAAGGCCAGAGGTAACTGACAGCACAGTGCCAATATCTGGGTTTTTATTTTTAAAAGTAGCCTTTACTAGAGGCCAATGATTCACTGACCTGTGGAGATACTTAGGCTTACTGTGAGGGTCAAAGCTCCAGGGACCAGTTTGTGCTTCCCTGAGGTATGTGACACCATCTTCAGGCCCAGGGCTAGAAGACTACATCCCTCTACATTTAAAGGGGTCAGTCCCCTGGGACAGGGAAGTGTGCTAAACTGGCTTCATGGGTAATCAGTGGCTTGGGATAGAGTCTGATCATCAACCCTGTTCTGTAAGGGAGATAAACATGCTACTACTGAAGGCTGCACAGCCAATGACAACACTGTCACTTTTATCCTTCCACCTCTGACAGTTTAATTTCTAACTGTAACACAGTCTAGAAAGCCTGGCACCTGGATGCTAGTGGGCACACCTACCTTCATGTTCTGCTTCTGCCTGTCAGCTTCCTGGTGAATTACTGGAGCATCGTGTCCCCTAGGCAGATGAGGGGAAGTCATCCATCCCTTTTGCTTATGTTTAGTGTCAAGGCCAAGTCCAGTCTTACTGGTTGTGTGAGTGCAGGAAGTTCGCTGACCTCCCCTGGCTTCTCCTGTCTCCAAGGGGGCTGTCTGCTCTGTCACGGATGGACCTGAGCTGAGGAGATAGACTGAGATAAGGAGCAAATCCTGTCTGGCTCAGAAGCCTCTGAGGAGGCAGTGTGTGCTGCAGAGTGCCCTGGGGATAGGCTTGTGCCGGGAAGACTCAGGACTAGACCCAATCACTCAGTGGTCCTCAGATGAAGATCAAAAGTAGGTTGAGGCTGGGTCATGTGCTGAGATGCTTGGGGCAGCTATCGATAGGATTCAGTGGACATTAGGTGGCCTGAGTCTCCAGGATTGTTCATGCTGTGTTTCCCTTCCACACCTGGGAAACTGGTCCCACCAGCAGTGCCCCTTTTCAGTTTGTATGTATGGCTCTTTCTCAGGAGGATGTGGAGGGTGGGTTTTCTCTCAGTAGGCCTTGTCCCAGGAAGGTCGTACAAGGATCTCTTGCAATCAGTGTGGCATTGGGTTTGGGGTGGCCATATCAGAAGCCTAGGTCCATGCTGTCTGGACAGCTTGTAGACTCCCTTATTACTCCAGGCTTCAGAGATGGAATTCGTTTCTACAATTCTCCACTGATCAGTGGTGTCTTGAAGTGCTGGGAACTAAACCATGGATATAGCTTGTTTGGTGGGCTCGGAAGTTTCCCTGCCTTACCAACTCTTCCTCCTACCTTATTGACACTGATTCTAGGTTAGGAAGGTGACAGCCACACAAGGAGTGGCATCTTCTACCTTCTTGGGAAGAATATCCTTCTCGGTCAAGCAGTGTGCTGCCACAGCCCGAGCCATCTAAAGAAGGAATGAATGGCTTTCTCACAGTGCTGGAAGTCAGCAAATTCATAACATGGTGCTGGCTTTCTGTCAGGACTTGCATGCTACATCCTAGCATGGTGCCAGGAAAAAGGGGCCAGAAAAGAGGGAGAGGGATAGACAAAAGGAAGAGGTAGAAGTGGAGGAGGAGGAGGAAGAGGGGGGCATCTACAATCTGGCCAAAGAGAGAGAAAGGGAAACAGAGGGAGATAGAAAGGCTTAGTTAAGAAAGGAGAGAAAGACAAATGGAGAGGGAGAGAGGGGAATAAGAGAGGGAGGCGGAAAGAGAGAGAAGAGGGAGAGAGGGAGGGAGGGCACTCCTTTAATAACAAACCCAGTCCCAGTGGCTTTGATCTATTCTCAGGCCAAGCCTTCCTGGCCAAACCATCTCTAAGAGCTCCACCTCTCAGCATTGCTGCACTGAAGATTTACCAGGAACATCATGGGGAATCACATTCCAACCTTAGCAGTTCCTTCATGTACTTCTTTCTCAGTTACACATTTTAAAAATGTCTAGTATCATTTTCCAGTTCAGGAGGCCGAATCTACATTGGGCTGGTGGGATTACCATTTACTTTTGGGTTACCTGTGCTTCCCTCAGCTCCCCCCCCCCCCCCCCCCCCCCCCGCAATGTGAGCTTCTCACATTCCAGTAGTCCTTGCCTTTTACAGACTGGATCTCCACCCACCCAACACAGGCTTCTTGACCTGAAGGACCCTTCCTCCAGGGTCTCCCTGAGCTTCCTGTCCCTCCTTGAACCCTGAGCCCAGCCCCTCCTGCCTTGTCCCCTGCCGGTCCCCAAGCTAACACAGTGCTTGGCACTAAGCAAAAAAAGCAAAGTGATCACCCCATAAATGAAGGGATGCCTCGCTCACTATAGTTAAGCAACCATATATAAGCAACCAGTCACTCTGCCGGTCTGTACATTTCGCCCAGTTCATTTGCATTTATGGTTCTTCTTGCTCGCGCCCATCTGCAGCAAGACTGTCCAGGGCCTCCATCAGCCTCCCACAGAGCCTTGATTTCTCAGCATCCAACCAAGACCACCTCTGCCCTTTCTTTCTCCTCAGCCTGGGTCTAGTGAGCTGGCCTTCATTTCTGTCTTCTCTTTCAGGTTTGAAAATGGCAGCGAGTTCACCTCAGAGATGGAAGATGGTGATGACCCTGAGGCTTATGTCACCAACTTGTCCTATTACCATCTGGTCCCCTTTGAGACGGACATTTTGGACTGATCCTCTCCATGGGGCCTTCCCGGCCTCAGCCTATGACTGCATGTCCTAATGCTGTCCACTGGGTGGCCCCAATGGTGAAAGGTCTTGGCCCACCCAGGGGTTTTGTCACCACCCCCAGTGAGGCCCCGTGTCCTGCAATTGGCCCTGCAGAAGCTCCTAGTGGCTACAGGCTGATGGCAGGTTCAACAGTGGAAGTCCATACAGCCAAGGGGTCATCTCTGCACTTGTACCACCATCCTGCCTCTCCCCTGGGACCCCCTGTCCCACTTAGTGTGCCACAGAGCACATGCTCCAAGGGCTGTCACTGCCTTTTCTTGCTGTCACCGCCTCCTTAGGGAGCACATTGTTCTTTGTCAAGGGGCCTGGCCACCCTGACTCCCCACCATTCCCTCATATGTCAGCGGCACAAAGCATTTAGGAGGAAGTTTTGACGAGTCATCAGGTTCTGAGCAACACAGACCTGGATGTTCAGGGGTGCAGGGCGTCCCTGGGAACCAGAATGAGTGGTTTCTGTTGTCGAGTTTTTTTTGGTCATCTTCTCCCTGGAAACTAGATTTTAGAATAGTGTAAAGGACTGTTCTTCACAGAAGATCATGCACAAGTAGAAGTTCTGGCTTTAGAGAGAGGAGATTACTGACAATCAAGTGGACCATAAACTTGACCCAAGAGGGTGAAGAGTGTCTTCTCAAGAGGAAAGGAATCCTGCCCTGCCTGCTAGCCCTTGCCAGCCTTTTTGTGCTGGGTATATGGCTGTCACTACAGTCAAGGGTCTAAAGTTCAACGACACAGTTGCCCTGATAAAGAGGAAGGGAAGGGGGAGGAACGTATAGCCCCAGCTGTGCCACAGGGGAAGGTCTGTCCTCATCTCCTTGTCTACTAATGGCTGGTATTTGCTAATGTAAATAATAGTAAATTATTGAGAATTCTAATGCTTTTACACAGTCTGTTTTTAATCTATTTTAATTAAATAAAATTAATCTTCCTACTTCGATCTATTGAAGATGTTTGTATAGAAAGGGGTGGTTCATTTTGTTCCCTACCCAGGGAGGGAAATAAGATGCTGGCCCTGGAGTCTGGCCCTGAGCTCTGTCCTTCTTGCCCTCAGGAGAGATATGTTCAAATTGAAAAAATGAACACATAGCAGGGAACAGTTGGCTCATACCTATAATCCTAGCTAATTAGGAGGCTGAGATCTGAAGATTATGATTCAAAGCCAACCTGGGCAGGAAAGTCCATGAGACTCTTATCTTCAGTGAACCACCCCCAAACCAGAAATGGAGCTGTGACTCACCATGGTAGAAAGTGGTAAAGCACTAGTTTGAGCACAAAATCTAAGGGACAATACCCAGCCCCTGAGTTCAAGCCCCATGACTGGCCAAAAAAAAAAAAAAAAGTCCTATAATCCTAGCTTCCTAGGAGGCTGAAATTAGAGGATCAAGATTCAAAGCAAGCACAGGGAGAAAGTCTGTGATATTCTTATCTCCAACTAACTACCAAAAAGCTGGAAGTGAAGCTGTGGCTCAAATGGTAGAACACTGGCCTTGAGTACAGAAGCTTAGGATGATGAACAGGCCATGAGTAAGTACATATGTACATTTGTATGTACATGTACACACACACACCACACACATGAACACACATAAGGTTTTTTGTTTTAACATAAAAGTTTTTCCCTTCTCCATTGGCCCTTTTGACAGCCACAGGAAGCTCCTTTTTGGTGTAATTTCTGGTTCTTTCGATGGGCTTTCAATACTGTATTAGGTGGCTGATTGAGGTTGACCAGTTTCCCTTTCCCCCTGAAAGAATTTAGTGCAGTTCTGTTCAGTGATAAAGCATCTTGCCCAATAGTTACATTTAGGGTCAATTAACATGTTGAGTGAGTTCTGATTTAACCTTCAGTGCATGGTGCCAAGGTTATTCTCATCATCCTTGCTCCCCAGAGATGCTCCCTTCCCAGTGTCTGACCACTATGATAGCAGCTTCTTTAGCTCCTGCCCTTGTTCTCCTTGAATTTCTCTGTCAAGACCCTGCTGTGGCACCCTAGCCTCCTCTTGCCTTCCCTGAAGAAGCTTCGGGGATTTTTATCAGTCCTTCCAAACATCAGCCCATTCTCTAGTTTCCATCTTTTTCTGGAAAATCTTAGTCTTCTGGGCCCATTCTTCATGTTGGAAAGCACTCTTAAGAACAGATGAATATTTAAGTGTGGCAAAATGGAGAGCTTATGCACTACGTGCAGGTACTACTGTTCAGCAGATTGTTCTACTTGGCAGTGTGGATTTGGAATAGCTAGATCTCACTTTTGAATAGGACCTAAATGTCTGACTTCCTGTGAATTCAATCATTTTAGTCACTTGATTTTCCTATTTGGAAAGAACTTTTTGTACTTCCCGTTTATAGACTGTGGAATCATCCCTTTTTTGACTGTTTTGCAAATAGATTCTGATTTCCTCCTAGGAGGCTTAAAGTAAAGGGGTAAAATGTGATCTGATCATGACCTGAACCTACCTTTTGATGGCTACCATCCAATAAGGGCCCTCATTGTGTTTAGCAAGATGAGGACATGCCACTGGGTGACTGAGCAGGCTGTAGCAAGCACGCGGTTCTCCTGGACAGCCCTTACCAGTAGAAATATGTTCAAAGTGTTGGTAGCTGTGTAGCCCTGAGCAACATGTTCTAACCTTCACCAATTTCTCCTCTTGGGCATACAACAAATTTTTGGCTTTCATTTAGGAGGGCATCTGTTACATCCCAAGCACTTACTATTAGCATATAATAGTTCCACAAGGGAGAGAGGTCATTGTGACATTTCCATACATGTATATAATCTAATGAATCCCACTCTATCACTCTCCCCTCCCCCTTCCCACAACAATTTCAACAGGCTTCATTCTTCTATTTTCATACCTGCAAACAATCTTTGGCCACACTCATCTCATTCATCCTCCTTGCTAGCTCAACCCTTCCCACTAGTACCCAACAGCCAACAGAGCCTGCTTCTGTGTCCTTTTCCCCAACCCCATTTTGATGAACAGCGTTCATGATCTCCAGGGAGCAGGGATAGCCCTGTATCTGGTACTGGGCTCTGGGCTGACTAGGGAAGATGGATAGTCACCCAGAGTATAGGCTCCAATAAGAGAGATTTCTAGGGGTGTGGGCCCTAGATATGTTGGCTTGTGTGAAAAATCTGAGCTAGCAAATAAGTCTCTTACTATGTATAAGAATTGGCTGACTCTTGGAGGGGCAGTCCAGGCCACTATGGGCATGAAATAGGAAAGCATCAGTTACAGAAATGAGAAAACAAGGTTGTGCACACTTAATCTATGCACTGTAGTCTATCTCGTTTCATCTCTTGCTGGGCATATAGTGAAAAACTAAAAAAGTAGTGTGTGTCCCTTCATGAAAAACATTTTCTGACAAGCACAAGGCTCCTGGAGATAGGTGGCTAATATATTCACATGCCCCAATGTTGAAGGTTTTTAGCAGATCGTTTCAATACCATTCCTTTCCCCATCTGACCCCGACCTCAACATTGACTAGCTTCTAGTGTTTTTTTTTTTTTTTATTTTATATTGTGAAAATACTGTACAGAGGGGTTACAATTACATGGGCAAGGTAGTGAGTACATTTCTTATCAAGCATTGTAGCCTCCTCCTTTGTTTCCCCTTCCCATCCCTTCCCATCTTCCCCCCACCCCCCACCCAATCCTCCCCCCGCCCCCCATCCAATCCTCCCCCCCCCCACCAAAGTTGTAAAGTTCATTTTCAACATGACAACTTGTACTTCTCATTGTTGCAATAGGTCCACTTGTATCCTTATTTAAACGACTTGTTATCCCCTTTCCCTCCATAAATTATACCAAAATCAAATACAGTGAAAGCAGGGGTTAGACTGTGGGGGAGGGACATACAACGCAACAAAGAAATAATAACATATATACACACATATATGTTTTATCATTTTTCCAGTGCTATGGGTGGAACCTAGTTACAGATGTTTTGCAAGGGCTAAGCAAAGTACACTTTCACTGTGCTTTTGAGACAAGAATTCACAATGTATTTCAGACTGACTTGAAACTTGTTGCAGGTGTGTGCCATTATGCCTGGCCCATGCAACATTTTTATGCAAATTCTAAACAAACACAAGCACATGCTTTTAAGGCATGTGAGTCTATTACATTTGTGGCCAATATTAATGTTTTGAAGCTCATTTTCTATATATACTCCAGAAATAATCTCACAGGAGAGAGGTTTACTCTCGGTAAATTTTGCCTCTGATTAAAAAGTATGAATGGTATATTAATATACTTTAGATTAACTGAGACAAAATATCTAACATAGCAGCTAAAGGAGAAGGTATTTATTTTGGTCCCTTGGCTCTGTTGCTTCTGGATGCACGTGGTGAAACAGAGCCTCATGATGGTGGCATGGGATGGGCAAGCTGGTTCATCTCATACCAGCTAAGACAGTGATTCAGGCCGAGAGACTTAGAACCAAATGTATTCTTCAAAGACATACCCCAGAGGCCCACTTCTTCCAGTAAGGCCCTATCTTCCACAGTTTCCACCACCTCCCAACGGTCCACTCACTTATGAATGTAAGACCTGTCTGATCGTATTAAAGTGTATTGATTGTTGTTCTGTCTGTTTTGGGCACGGGGTGGCAAAGAATGACGATGGCCACAGTCCAGGGGATGATTTTGGTCTCATAGATAGTAAGATAGGGAGCAAATCCCTCTTCTGTGGCACAGGCACATGAAACCATCTTGAGTGGATGCTCAAATATCCTAATGGTTCCCTTTCTATTAATTTACAAAAGAAAAAAGTGTCCCCTAAATAAGTCATGACTCCCTGTAAGTAGGAAAAGTCAAGTAATGATTCATATGATTCCAACAATATAGGAATTGTAAAGAAGGGATTCATTAGATTAATAGTACTGGAAATATCATTGGTATCAGTGCTATTTGGTGTCACACCTCAAAATTCAGTAAGTTAGTATAAAAAAGTGACTATATTGCACTTTCCTCATTTTTTTTTTTTGGTTGGCAAGTGAAAACTTGACAGAAGCAGCCAATAATTTATTGGAAACCCATGAAATGAGCAAAAGAAATAGAAATGTCTTCACTGGAAATCCAAGGCTTAACTGAAATGTGGGCCATGTGAATATATCAACCACCCATCCCAGGAGATGTTTTTCATGAAGGGACATACAGTACTTTTTTAGTTTTTTGCTATGTGCCCAGAAGGAGATAAAATAGGATAGACCACAGTGCATGAAGGTTGTGAGGGAGGATCCTCTTCTTAGTCCCAAAGCACCTTTGCTTTAAGAACAGGAGGTCAGTAGGACAATAGTGAGGAAAGGTGATGTCATGCTCCAACCATGTCCTCTTGGAAGGGACACTTATGGCTCGTGGCCACCACCAGGCAAAAGTTGATCAGCTGGTCAAGATTCCTCCTCCCAGCTGGTGTCCATGGGCACTGAACCGGCTAGTTTTGGTAAAGTGCTGTGGCTGACTGCCCCGCCTCCAGGCACCTCTCTCCCAGACATAGCAATATCCAGGCCCATCTCACACCTGGAATCCAGTCTGACTTCCAAGTCAAAGAGAATTGGAAAAAGTCTCATTTCTAATCAATTCAATATTGATTTTGGAGTATAATTTTCATGTGCTAATATTGTTTAATAATTTTATTTATTACTCCACATCTGGTATTTGCTAGGCAAGTACTCTACTGTTGAGCTATGTTTCCAGTCCTAGCTTTGCTTTTTTTTTTATTGTCAAGGTAATGTACAGAGGGGTTACCATTACATAAGTAAAGTAATAAGTACATTTCTCATCAAACTTGTTACCCCTTCCCTCATTTTTCTCCTACTTTCCCTCCTCCCCACTTCCAATTTGTACAGATCATTTCTAACATATTATCTGTGTATATTGCTGTTACATTGGTTCCTCCTTTTAGCTTTGTTTTTTGAACACATATTGCTTGCATAGTACAAAATTCAAGAG